CCTTCACTTAACACATCAGTTAGGAGACAACATTAACACTGAGACTCTACCTTAACTAGATACCTTCACTTAACACACCAGTTAGTAGACAACATTAACACTGAGACTCTAACTTAACTAGATACCTTCACTTAACACACCAGTTAGGAGACAACATTAACACTGAGACTCTAACTTAACTAGATACCTTCACTTAACACACCAGTTAGGAGACAACATTAACACTGAGACTCTAACTTAACTAGATACCTTTACTTAACACACCAGTTAGGAGACAACATTAACACTGAGACTCTACCTTAACTAGATACCTTCACTTAACACACCAGTTAGGAGACAAAATTAACACTGAGACTCTACCTTAACTAGATACCTTCACTTAACACACCAGTTAGGAGACAAAATTAACACTGAGACTCTACCTTAACTAGATACCTTCACTTAACACACCAGTTAGGAGACAAAATTAACACTGAGACTCTACCTTAACTAGATACCTTCACTTAACACACCAGTTAGGAGACAAAATTAACACTGAGACTCTACCTTAACTAGATACCTTCACTTAACACACCAGTTAGAAGACAAAATTAACACTGAGACTCTACCTTAACTAGATACCTTCACTTAACACACCAGTTAGGAGACAAAATTATCACTGAGACTCTACCTTAACTAGATACCTTTACTTACATCGTATTTCCCTTCCTTCCTGGTGTGTTAAGTGAAGGTATCTACTGCAATATTTTCCTTCTTATTTACAAGCAATATTTATCGTATTAACCCTTGGGAACCTGGATCTAAGAATCGCTGCGTCACTGCACTAGATATCACCTCTACCTTAACACGGATCTAAGGCCAATGTCTCCTTACTGCACCCCATCAAGTACCAAGAAGCTGAGAGAGAGAGAGAGAGAGAGAGAGATTTTGTCAAGCATCGTCAACAGTTAGTCTTGCATGTATATAGGCAAGGCAGGTATACAGTTCAACATGTATATAGGCAAGGCAGGTATACAGTTCAACATGTATATAGACAAGGCAGGTATACAGTACAGCACATGCGAATAGCTTAATACCTGTGTCAGTACTTCACCTTCAGGAGCACCTACAGTAGTACTCGGTGTAGAAGTGTTTGAGGGTCACGTACTGTACCGAGAGCTGGCGTGCCTCAGGGGGATGAGTTGGGTTCTTCTACTGTTGGAATGTTCGCTTATTTCACGCCTGCTTGGGAGACTCACCTTGAAAGATCATTACTTCTCCTCCTTCCTTCTTCCTCTTCCTCTCCTTGCTTATCCTCTTTCCTTTTCTTCCTCCTCTCTTTCATTTTTCCTTCTTCCTTCTCATGCTCCTCCTTCCTTCCCCGTTCCTCCTCTTCCTCTTCTCCTTCTTTATCTTCCTCCTTCCCACTTCACCTTTCCTCACTCCTCCTCCCCATCTCTCCTCTCCCTCACTCCTACCTCCTCATTCTCCTGCCTCTTTTGATACCTCGACAAGGTAGAGAGAGGCAGGGGGGCAGGGCGACTCATCTGCCACCACGACACACCCTGCCAGGGACCTGTCGTGTCAACAAGAGTGTTATGTGTGTGTGTGGAGGGGAGAAATATCTCTCTCTCTCTCTCTCTCTCTCTCTCATACACACACACGCACACAAACATTCGCTCTACCAATCACAATATTAGTCCTAGATTAGAGATAAAGAGAGAGTCAAAGTTTAAGTCCGGGAGGCAGAGACGAGACAAAACGAGACAGACACAGACAGACACAGAGATAAACACAGACAGACACAGACACAAACGTGGGAGAAAGGAAAACTGAAGTGAATGTAGAATGCAAAGTAAAAGTGTATTGCGAATAAAATATCAGGTAAAAAGTTATTAAAGAGAAAGCGAAGTGGAGAACAAGAATGTGTAAACTATTGGAATCATAGAACAAAAGACGATCGGGGTGTATAGATGAAGTGACAAAAGACGATCATGTTTTTAGATGAAGTGACAAAAGACGATCGTGTTTCTAGATGAAGTGACAAAAGACGATCATGTTTCTAGATGAAGTGACAAAAGACGATCGTGTTTATGGATGAAGTGATAGAAGACAATCGTTTAATAGTCGAAGTGACAAAAGACGATCGTATTTATAAACGAAATAACAAAAGACTGTCGTATTTATAGGCGAAATAAAAGACGGTCGCATCTATAGACGAAATGACAAATTCCTGGCGTTTATTTGGCCCTCAAACTAACGAGCTGAGGACAAGTAACACGATGCTCTCACAACATTGACTCTCTCTCTCCCTCTCCTCATCAAACATCTAACCCAATTTAACCTAACCTAACCCAGTTTAACGTATATGTAACCCAACCCAACCAAAACCTGACGTACTAGGTAAGGATATGTTAGGTTTGGTTAGGTTACGTTAGTTTGGGTCTGGTTTAGGTTAGGTTAGGGCCTGTGTAGTTCCGCCTCCCAGTAAAGATGTACTGTACTTGGTCCCACGTACACTGACCACGGACATAAACAGTAACGGTGAGGCCATAAACCATTCCTTTACTACGACACACACACACACACACACACACACACACACACACACACACCACAAATGGATTCTCCAACTTTGCATCGTAAATTCACATCTCCAGATAGGAGGAAAATTTACCGTAAGATTATTTAAGAAAGTTTTTAAATAAGATGAATAATGATATAAAATGATTGATACTTTCTCTTTTGTTCTGTGGTAAAGGTATTTAAAGTGGTTTGACGTGGTATGGTGTGGTGTGCCGTAGTGTGGTGTGAGTTGGTCTGGCGTGGTGTGGTGTGGTGTGAGTTGGTGTGGTATTTTTTATTTTTTATTGTTTTTACGGGGATTAGCCCACCCGGGCACAGGTCACTGACCCACATCGGGGCCTGGGGGGCGAAAATGTAATAATAATGATAATAATAATAATAATAATAATAATAATAATAATAATAATAATAACAATAACAATAAAGAAATACAAAAATTAAAAAAAGATCAAAAGTGAGAAACAATATATGTATGTTGTGTTGTCAATAGTAAGAGAAACAATTGAGACCCTGCAATTGTGTGTAAATGAGGCAGAAAGTCAGATCATCAATCTTGGACTTGGTCACAATTTTCGTGATGCCATATGGCAGCAGAGTCTACCATTAGACAACACATTATGCTTCCACCTGGCGTGGTGTGACGTGGTGTGTACTGTGGTGTGGCGTGGTGTGACGTGGTGTGTACTTTGGTGTGGTGTGGTGTGGTGTGGTGTATACTGTGGTGTGGTGAAGTCAGGGAGTGAAATGCGTGGAATGACAAGGTCGTTCTGTGGTCATTGTCGACTTGCTGACCGTCCTGTGTGTCTGTCTCCACCACTAACCTAACTTAATCTAACCTAACCTAACTTAACCAAACCTAACCTAATGTAATCTAACCTAACCTAACCAAATATTCAACAAAAAACAACAAAATCAGAATAAACAAAAAATCAAATAAAACAACATACGAAAACAAAAACAACTCAACAAAATCAAGAAAACAAAAACAAAAATACAAAACAATAACACAAAAAATCACCACAATTACGCGGGAAAAGTATAGATGACAGAAAGTAGGACAAGTTGATCCTCGACGTAAACAAAAGAGGATCGAGGGAAGACGACTGGATCCCTTGTGAGTCGGGTTTATAGGTCTGGAACCCTCTTGACCCTGTCTTTTTGTGGGTGGGGGGGGGGGAGTCTCACTACATATGTGTTGCTTGTTGTTGTGGTGGTTGTCTAGAGGAGAGAGATTGTGGTAGTGGTGGTGACTGGTGGTGGTTGATTGTATCTATCCATCTATCTCTCTGTCCATCTATCCATTTATATAATTTATCTATCCATCTCTCTCTCTTTATCTATTTATCTATCCCAGTGAGCCAATCAGTTCACCAGGGCAAGAAAGCCAACCAGTTTAAACCACTCAGTACACCAAGGACAGAAAGCCACCCAGTTTAAGCAACCAACTAAGCCAGTCAGTTCACAAGGACGGAAAAGCCACCCTGCAGACTAAGCCACCACACAACAAAAAAACTCACCCCAAATGTCATAAATATTTAGCCTTGTGGTGGGGTGACGGTTTTTCCTGCATATAGTCTCTGGGTGAGGCATTGTTTGGTGGCAGGAGTGTGTGGTGAGGGAGGGAAGGTCACCTGTGGGTACCTGTGCTGTCACCTGTGGGTACCTGTGCTGGGTGGTGTGGGTACCTGTGCTGTCACCTGTGGATACCTGTGCTGGGTGGTGTGGGTACCTGTGCTGTCACCTGTGGATACCTGTGCTGGGTGGTGTGGGTACCTGTGTTGATACCTGTGGGTACCTGTGCTGGGTGGTGTGGGTACCTGTGTTGACACCTGTGGGTACCTGTGCTGGGTGGATATGGAGAGGGTGTGGGGGAATAGTGTATGGTGTGTGTGTGTGTGTATGTGTGTTGATATTACTGGTTAGCTGAGGTTAGATCTGGTTAGGTCTGGTCAGCTTAGGTTAGGTTAGGTCAGGTCAGCATAGGTTAAATCAGCATATTGAATGACCTAAGTAACTCGTTCGTGACACTTAACACGTTCAGGCGTTCACCTAACCGTTCGTGCCTGCAATCCATCATTCAAGCTCTCTATCAGTGCACGAACGTTGCAGACACATTGTTTCTGCAACACGCATTCAGCCTATGACTTGAACACACACACACATACACACATACACACACACACACACACTATAAATATTCAACTTTATCATTGCTTCCTGGAGTCTCAAAGGCTCTTACGATCTTTTAGGGGGAAATAAATCACCTGAAGATTGACCCCCCTTAGCTTAATTCACCACTTAATCCCAAAAATCCTCCCTATACCCCTTAAATCACCACTTAATCCATAAAACACAGGATCTATCCCCTTAAATCCGGACCTAATCCACTTAAATCCGGACCTAATCCACTTAACCGGGATTTCTTTTACCCACAGGGCCCTTGAGAGCCGTAAGCCGCTACTCTGGTAAGTGGTCCTATTATGAATATTTCTAGTAAGTGGTGCTGTTTAACCTCTTGCTACTACCCTTTAATGATATTTTCTTGTGAGAGAGAGAGAGAGAGAGAGAGAGAGAGAGACCTGAATGAATAAAAGAGAGAGAGGGAGAGAGAGACTCCTGAATGAATAACAGAGAGAGAGAGAGAGAGAGAGACCTGAATGAATGAATAAAAGTGAGAGAGTGAATGGGAGTGAGAGGGAATGAATGAGAGTAAGAGAGTGGGGTAGGAAGGGAAGCTACGCTTTAATTCATATGACTGAACCTGCCCTCTCTCTTTCTCTCTCTCTCTCTCTCTCTCTCTCTTTTATTGCCCAGTTATGATGTTATTTCCGTTGTCTGTTTCACCCTTAACTGTGGCTGTGTGTGTGTGTGTGTGTGTGTGTGTGTGTGTGCGCGTGCGTGTGTGTGTGTGTGTGTGTGCTGCGCGTGTGATTGTGTGTATGTGTGTGTGAGAGAGAGGTATACATTTAATAGGGGAAGGAAGGTAGGAAAGCCAGATCTAACGAGGGGGAGAGGAGGGTAGGAGGAGAAAGTCATTCCTAACAAGGTGAAACATAGTTAAGGGTTGTAAATAAAGTGGGGGGAGGGAGTAGTGGCCCTTACAACAGAGAGGGGATGGCTGGGGGTGAAGGGGTGGGGTAGCGAGGAACATGTATATAAAATTAGGGGGATGAGGGTAGGGGTGTTTTGGGGTGGGGGGAGGTAGGGGGTAGCGGGCCTTACAACAGAGGGGTGTTTATGGTGGGGAGGGAGGGGAAGGTATGGAATGGGGAGGAAGGGAGTGTGGTAGGGGAGGTGGAAGGGTGAAAGGGAGAGGGTGAGGGTGTGGTAGGGGAGGGAGAGGATGAGGGTGTGGTAGGGGAGGGAAGGATGATGTGGTAGGGGAGGAGGAGAGGGGTGGGAGAGGATGAGGGTGTGGTAGGGGAGAGAGGATGGGTGTGGTGGGAGGGAGAGGATGAGGGTGTGGTAGGGGGGAGGAGAGGATGAGGGTGTGGTAGGGGAGGGAGAGAGGATGAGGGGTGTGGTAGGGGAGGGAGGATGAGGGGTGGGTAGGGGAGGGAGAGGATGAAGGTGTGGTAGGGGAGGGAGAGGATGAGGGGTGTGGTAGGGAGGAGAGGATGAGGGGTGTGGTAGGGGAGGGGAGAGGATGAGGGTGTGGTAGGGGAGGGAGGGATAGGGTGAGGGAGGGAGAGGGTGAGGGTGTGGTAGGGAGGGAGATAGGAGGGAGAAGGTTGGTGGTGGTGGTGAGGGATGGGGAGGGGATGAGGGAGGGGGTGAGGGAGGGAGGATGAGGGAGGCGGTATTACAGTAGTGAAAGCGACCTTCAACAAGCTCTGTATTCATTACGACAAACTCTAATACGTTCATGTGTACACCACCAGTAAGTTCATGTGTACACCACCAGTACGTTCATGTGTACGTACATCATCCTGTACGTTCATATATACAGTATAATCTTATTTTCCAAAGCTTTGTCTGTTTGTATACTAACACTATCTATCTATCTATCTATCTATAATCTATCTATCTATCTATCATCTATCATCTATCTACAATCTATCTATCTATCTGTCTATTTATCTACCCATTTCTAACCCATTCGAACAATCTCGCCTCTGCTTCCTCTCACCCTCCCTCCCACCCCTCCACCCTCACCCTCCCTCCCGTCCCTCCCTCCCTCCCACCCTCCCTCCGTCACCCCTCACCCTCCCACCCTCCCTCCGTCCCTCCCTGACCCTCCCTCCCTCACCTCACCCCTCACCCTCCCTCCGTCCCTCCTCACCTCCCACCCTCCCACCCTCCCTCATCCCTCACCTCACCCTCCCACCCTCCTCCCTCACCCCTCCCACCCTCCCTCCGTCCCTCCCGTCCCTCCCTCACCCTCCCACCCTCCCTCCTCACCCCTCCCTCCCTCCGTCCTCCTCCGTCCCTCCCTCACCTCCCCACCCCCCCCCGCCACCCCTCACCCTCCCACCGTCACCCCTCACCCTCCCTCCGTCCCTCCCTCACCTCCCTCCTCACCCCACACCCTCCCTCACCTCCCACCTCCCACCGTCACCCCCTCCACCCTCCCTCCCGTCCCTCCCTTACCCTCCCACCCTCCCACCGTCACCCCTCACCCCTCACCTCCTCCGTCTCTCCCTCACCCCTCACCCCTCACCCCTCCCTCCGTCCCTCCCTCACCCTCCCCTCTCCCACCGTCACCCCTCACCCCTCCCCCTCCCTCCGTCCCTCCCTCACCCTCCCTCACCCCTCACTCACCCTCCCTCCGTCCCTCCCTCACCCTCCCACCCTCCCTCATCCTCACCCTCCGTCCCTCCCTCACCCTCACCCTCCCCACCCTCACCGTGTTATTCAACCTCTCTGTATTTTCCCTGTGTCAAAATTTTCCCCGTGTTTTTAGGGTGAAATTTCCCTCCCTGTTTTAGCGATTTTTTTCACTTGCTCCAAAATATCGCCAGCACGAACGATCTCTAGTGCCTGGCGTTCTGTTCACCTATCGCCAGTACGAACGATGACTACTACCTTGCGTTCTGTTCACCTATCGCCAGTACGAACGATGACTAGTGCCTGGCATTTTCTCCCTACTTATCGCCAGCACGAACGATCTCTACTACCTGGCGTTCTGTCCACCTATTGCCAGTATAAGCGATGACTACTGCCTGGCGGTCTTTCTCCACTTATCGCCAGTACTAGCAATGACTACTGCCTGGCGTAGTAACATCAACACTGGTCAATTAAATATACAATAATGGACACTCCTGCTGCCCCAAATATTACCCAAGCGTTTGTGTGTCTTTGAGGTGTTTGTTTAAGCGTTTGTGTGTGTTTGATGTGTTTGTTTAAGCGTTTGTGTGTGTTTGAGGCGTTTGTTTAGGCGACTTAGTCCCTTCTGGTTCACAAAGGTGCTTATGATGATGGATGCTTCTCGTTGACTGATGAAAAAACGTTCATTGTTCTGTGTATAAACGTTCATTGTTCTGTGTATAAACGTTCATTGTTCTGTGTATAAACGTTCATTGTTCTGTGTATAAACGTTCATTGTTCTGTGTATAAACGTTCATTGTTCTGTGTATAAACGTTCATTGTTCTGTGTATAAACGTTCATTGTTCTGTGTATAAACGTTCATTGTTCTGTGTATAAACGTTCATTGTTCTGTGTATAAACGTTCATTGTGGCCAACGTTTGTGTACAGAGTGGACGTCAACACAGCTGTAAGTCGATCAGGTGTTGTTTGTAAACATTGATTAGGTTAAGTGATGTGTGGTGGAGGAGGAGGAGGGAGGAAGGAAGGAAAGAAGTAGGAAGAAAAGGAGGAGGAGGAGGAGGAGGAAAAGTAGAGAGTAGGAAGAATAGGAGGAGGAAGAAGAGGAAGAGGAAGAAGAAGCGTAGGAAGAAAAGGAGGAGGAAGAAGAGTTATTTAGGTTTTATCAGGTAATGAATAATGTTTTAATGCTCTATCACACACACACACACACACACACACACACACACACACACACACACACACACACACACACACACACACACACACACACACACAACACACACAAAAGGGACAATAATTATGTACAGTAAAACATCAATACAGGTGGTAAACAGATGAGAACCGCTAATTAGTAATGCCCTGCACTAGATAGGAAGGGAGGGAGATGGGGAGGGGTGTAGAGGGGAGAGGATATTGATAGGTAGGGGATATAAGAGACAAGCGACCCCTCCCACCCACCACCACCACACACCCCTACATCCTACCACACACCCTACCACATCCCACCACACCTCTACCATCCCACCACCTCTACCACATCCTACACACCTCTACCACATCCCACCACACACCTCTACCACATCCCACCACCCCTCCACATCCCCACCACCTCTACCACATCCCACCACACACCTCTACCACATCCCACCACACACCTCTACCACATCCCACCCTTGCTCTACCACAGTATCACCTAACAGTCCACCTATCATGAACAAATACCTTTAATATAAGACCTAATATTGGTGGTGTTATGGTGTACATGGATGGTTATGGTGTACATAGATGGTGTTAAAGGTGTACATGGTGTTAAGGTGTACATGGATGGTGTTAAGGTGTACATGGTGGGTGTACATGGATGGTGTTAGGTGTACATGGTGTTAAGGTGTACATGGATGGTGTTACGGTGTACATGGTGTTAAGGTGTACATGGATGGTGTTACGGTGTACATGGTCTTAAGGTGTACATGGTGTTAAGGTGTACATGGGTGGTGTTATGTATGCGTTTTAACTACTGCTCAAGGTTCTGACTTCAATTGGCTCTCTAGATGCTTGATGATGTGTGGAGGAGGAGGTAGAAGAAGAGGGGGTGGAGAAGGAGGTAGAAGAAGAGGGGGAGGAAGAAGTGGAGGAGGAGGTAGAGGAGAAGAGGAGGAGGTAGAAGTGGAGGAGGAGGAGGAGGAGGTAGAAGAAGAAGAAGGATGTAGAAGAGAAGAGGAGGAAGGTGAAGAGGGAGGAGGAGGAGAAGAGGAGTGACTTAGATACGTTCTTACGAGACAGTCAGCCAAGTCAATCAGTCAATCAGTCGGCCAGCTCAGTCAGTCAGTCGGCCAGCCCAGTCAGTCAGTCAGCCAGCCAGTCAGTCAGTCAGTTAGTCAGCCCAGTCAGTCAGTCGCTCAGCCAGCCAGTCAGTCAGTCAGTCAGCCCAGTCAGTTAAATAGTTGTCACATGACTAAGTAACTCACTTTCCATGTTAAGCTGTATTCATCACCTGATTGGCTAAGCTACATTCCTCATCTTATTCTTGATTGGTCGTCCGTTCGTGTGTTATATGATCTGCATGCTGATAGGCTGCCTTGTGACGCATTCTTGAGACCCGTGACTTGATTGGCTTAGCTCGTCTCACTGCTTCCATTCCTGTGTTTTGATTGGCTTAGCTCGTCTCACTGCTTCCATTCCTGTGTTTTGATTGGCTA